CGCCATACATACAACATCGGCTGATCACATACATTCTTAGAATATACAGCAAACAGACTCGGATTGAAATTCTCAGCAAACAGATCAACAGGACATCATTTCCTCAGAAAAGTGCAGAGCTCTCAGACTGCAGCTGTGTGCCGGATCATGGCACACAGAACAAAAAAGAGAAACGGTCCTCCCGCGGAAAACCGCAAATGACAGCTGATGAATTACTGTAAGTAACTGCGGCAATAAAACAACAACCAAAAAAAAAAAGGTTCGTTGGTATTTTTGCCTCCTGTTTTCTTGCAAGCGAAGCTGCAACGGGATTGGCCCCGCTTCTTTTCTCGAACGGCGCCTCTCTTTTCTTCCCCCTATCTCGTGGGAGGCCACCGTTACAGAGCTCAAAATTTTCAGTGGTTTATTGACATGTGGAGGTGTACACACACCATTGACCCAGAAACTAACGGTAGGTGCTCTTCCGTTTTCGTGTTAGGGAGGCTGTGTGGAAACTAACGCCATGACGCAGATGTGTACGGCTTAAGAAAATCCCGCAAGGGCAGGATTTTGGTTCTTGGGACCCAAGTAAGTGAGGGGTCCGATCTTTGTTTTAAGTCGAAATGTCAGAGTAACTACCGTCTTCCCCTGAACATAACGCATCCTCATTTCGCCTGTACCGGACAGGAAAGATGGCTTCTAGACATTTTCATTATCAGGGTGCGTTATGTTCGGGGGCAAGGTCCCGCTTGCGCAAATTACGAGATTTGGGCCGTTGATCTTTGCTATCTACGGTCAGTATCTCTTAATTCGTGCAAGTGGGACTTAGCCCCGGGGGAAGACGGTAGGACGACGACGACGACGACGACGACGAGGACGAGTAGATGAGAGCTGCTGCACTTTGTCTACCGCCTGAACGCCTGAAGACGGACAAGAAGGTCAGTGCTACACCCTCCTACTGACGTCTGACTCTGACAGGATTTCCATCAAGATGTCCTTCATGAATGACTAACCCTGGTATGGGCAGGTCTAGATGCAAAGTGCGGCCTCCTTCAACTCCTTGTCCTTTTTTTTTTTTTTTTTTTATAAAAAATTTAATATCATGTCGCCCGATGGACCACGGATCAGATATTAAACTGATTAGAACAGATACTACACTTGATCTTAGCCAAAAGGCCGAGAAAGGTATTCCTTGTTCTTTTTAACATGCGAAGCAACAGGGCCTTTGGGTCAGATCCCACTACCCTGGATTATTCATTTTTCACCCTCGATTACAAAGATCAACGGTCAGAAATGAACAATAGGGGCTAGTGGGATCTGGCCCTTATTGAGGTATAGAGGGGTCAAGCAAGGTACACACAGTCTAAGCTGGGGCCAAGGGAACAGGGTGGCTGGGAATAAGGGACAGTTCTTGTTGTTGATTGAACCACCAATACTCCCCAGGGGGTCTTAGGCCCCCCCCTCTGGGGAGGCTCTGACGCAAATGCACATAGACCCGCGGCGCACCCATTCAGCCACCACGTTAACGGCCTGAAAACGTCGAGGTACTGGTGGTCTGTCGAGTTGTGGTCCTACCTGTTGTAGAAGGGTCTCCCTGAGCTTGCAACATAATTTTTTATTTTTATTTTTTATTATTATTATTTTTCACCCGGCACCTTTGGCTTGCAACAGAAATTAACCGTTGGTGGTACACACGTTTTTGGTGCTTGGACAGAGCCGAGAAGGGAGAACCACATGCGTGGATTTTTTTGTTTCTATTTTGCGTGTTCCTTTTCGGTGTGCTAAGTTGTGAGCAACGTTTAATCGTGAAGGAAAAAAACGTTTTTGGCTGGCAAAAACGTGTCTTTTCTTTTGGCAAAAACGTTTTTGTTTGCTGTGTCGTATTTGGTTCGAACTCTTTGGCTAAACCCTCAGGAGGTTGGTGGTTAGTTAGGGCATCGCCACACCACTCTCGAAATGTGAAAAATGAAAATGAACTTCCCGCTAGAACATGACCACATGCGCTCGCCACAGTTTTGTCTTTTTCACATTTCGAGTGGTGTGGCGAGGCCCTTAGTTAGTGTAGAGCTAATCTGGTGGAGGGGTTTTGTTCCAAGGGTTTTGCAAAAACGTAGTTGCTTGTTCATTGTGGATTTTGGATTTGCTAGGAACGGGGGATGAAGTGAAGTTTGCAGGTCGTTGTGGGATTTCCTTGCCTCATGCATTTGTCCCTTCTGGCTGCTTTCTTCTTCTTCCCTGTATAGCCCCTTTCGTGTGCGTGCATTTGTGTCTTTTTCAGCTGCTTGACAAACTGCTGGATTCATCATACAGCAGGGTGCTTGGTCGTGGTTTTCGTTTTCGTCTGGACTGTTTGTCAGCAGCAGTCTCCGCACTTGTCAACCATGTCCATCAAGAAGGAAAACACTGTGAAGCTGATCAGTGCAGAGGGATTCGAGTTTGTCATCGATAGGCAGGCTGCTATGGTGTCCAATACCATAAAGAATATGCTGAGCTCCTCAGGTTAGTTGTGCCCTATCTTTCTGGTAGTGGATTACCTGCTTGCTGCTGGATTTAGATGTCATTGCAATATTGTTTCAAGTGATGCGTCTCCTGTGCTGCAGAGTGATCCGTGAGAAAACGTCTTTGTGGGACGAAGAGAGCCAAGGATTGGTCGAGAGGTGGCAAGAATAAGGATGTGTGTGTGTGTGGTGTGTGTG